GGGATGGGCTTCCCTAGTGAACTGGCACCAGATCCTGGCTCAGAAGAGGGGCTGGCTGCATGGATCTGCTGCTGAAAGGAGGGCAGGAGCAGAGCTGGCAGACGCTGCCAGCGGCTGGTGTCCCCGGGGAGGAGCTGGACACCTTTGATTGAACACGAGACCCTGGGGGTGGTCGCCGCTCTTCATCCCGTCCTTGGCTTTACTGACCATTGTGCTCTGATTTTCCAGGCGTGTTTTTTGCCGTGTGTTTAGTAGGTCGGTGCTGGTTCCGCTCCTGTGATCGCATTGTTCTCGCTGTTCTCATTTATTGTTTGCCTTGGACCGGGTTGACTTGTCTCGGTGAGCTCTAGCTGTGAGTGCAGTCATCCCTGTCGCCTGTTCTTGGCACGGCTGTGCGGGTCAAGGTGGGTCAGTGCCTCTTCAACCCGTCACCTTCTCAGGCTCCAGGCAGCTGGGGGGCCCAGGGGGTTTTGTAGCCAGCACATTGTTCACCTGGGTGAAACTCGCTTCCCTTCCAGTGCTGTTGTCTGCCTCTGCACTGGTCTTTTTCTTGTGCTGCTCACACTGTAGTTAGCTCCTGGGAGTGAGTCAGTGTCTCCCGACGGCCTGGCACGCTCTTCGCGTGGTGCAGGTGAAGGTGTCTGCTCCTGCCCCAGGACCCGCAGCCACCAGCGCGCTGCTAAGGTCTGGCTGAAGATGCTGCTTTCCTGGCAAAGCTGTGCAGGGCCAGACCCTTTCCAGGCTGCTCTGGATCCTTGCCTGGGTGCGCTTGTAGCCTGGCAGAGCTGCTGACCGAGGAGAGCTGGCAGTGTGGGTGAGCAGGAGTGTGGAAGTACAACCCCGCGAGCTCAGATGAGTCAGCCTCCCTGTGCCGGCGGAGCGGAGAGCTCCTCCAGAGCCCGTGGATGCTGGCTTGGTCCACAGACTGCGCCTGGAGCAGTCAACCAGGCAGAAAGCTTGGCTCAGCCGGAGTGTCTGGGATCCAGCGGCTCGAGCATATTGTGGCAAAAAGGAGGGAACATGTGAACATGTGCTTTGGGGGCTGTGAAACAAATCCACGGGCTCCCATGCAGACATTTTTTTTTTCAAGGAGGAGGGGGAGCTTTTTTAAGCCATTAATTTTCCTTTTGTCAACAGAAAAGGTTTTCTCGGCAATTGAATTTTCCTCTGGGGGCAGGAGCAGTTAGTTATCGTGCTGGAAGACAGCACAATATTACCACAGAAATCTCTGTATGGCTGCTGCTAACATGAAAGACGGGCAGATACGCTTTGGGTCAGAGGAGCCCCAGCCTTGCTCGCTGTGATCCTGCGCTGCCATTTGAAGAGCGGAGGTAAGCTCATGCCAGACAACTGAGTGAAGCCCCTTTTTACTCAAAATTTGGAGCAAAACTGCAATGCACTGGGGATGTAGGAATGAATGTCCTGTGACCAGGGCAGAGGGAGTTGATGGTGACCGGTCTGCCTTAGCTTTTAGATGCCATCTTTGCCTATTTAAATGGTGGGCTTGTGGGGAGGATGGAAGAGCAGCACAAGCTGGGACTTGAGATGCTGACCCCTCTGTAGCAGCAGGGGAGCTGGGGGATCCCTGCCGTGGGGATGTGACAGCCGTGGGGTTGCCCTCGATGCAGCCCAGGGTCTAACCACCTGGGGAGTGAGTTGTTGCCTTCCTCTTTCCTTCCCCAAGGGCCTATTAGGAACCTTAGTCTGGGCTGGTGGATGCTTTGGGAGGAGGCTTTGGGTAAGGGTAGGATGTCAAAGTGCTTTTGACTTGTTAATTACTGATCCTCTCTGATACCATCAAGCCCTTGTTGCTATGTAGATCTCTTCAGTGTTGAGCAGCCAGCAGGCACTCGAAGTCCCCAGGCCAAGCAGATGACAATCTACAAAGAACAGAGGCAGGAGCTTGATGACATAGGAAGCGGAGGGAAGGGGGGGGAAAAAGTGACTTACCCCAGCTTTTCTCTGTAATTGGGGCTAAACTCCAGTTCTGTGACTGGCCTCTGATCTCTTCGAGCTATCCCCTCTCCCTGCCCTGGGAGGGTGCTGGGGTCAGGAAGCTGTCTGTATGTGGAGAGGGCAGGCTTGGGAAGCTCGTTTGCTGAAATCAAGTATAATCATAGGCAGCAGTTGCTGTTTACTGCAGAAGCAATTTCCTGTACCAGGCTTTGTCTGGGTTCCTGCTCAGCCTTCTTTCCTCTGTATTGTGTCTTGCCCGTGCTGCAGATGGTTGGGCTTGACTTCACCCTGGTGTCTGAGCGCCTCTGCAAGCCCTTCCAGGAAAGGTATTTTTGAAGCTCTTTGTGCTTTGGTTCAGCACATGATGGATCCCTGCAGCCCGTGAATCATCGCTCTGGCTGAGTAGCGCTGTGCAAGCAGGACTTGCTCATACTAGCTATGTGATACCTTCTTTGGGGCCATCCTGCAGGTTGCAGAGCCCAGGGAAGGATGAGAGTATCCAGTATCCCGTGGGGCCAGGTCATTAATTCACCTCTGGATCTTAGCGGGAGGGAGATTGGGTTGCCAGCTCCATCTCACTCAAGCATTTGCAGATGCTTTCAGCTCTCCTGTTTCTGCTTCATGATAGCAGCAGGGTGCTCCTTGCTTCAGCGTGCTGGCAGAGCTCTGTGGATGATCTCTGTCAGAAGGGGAACAGCTGGGTCGAGGAATGAGAAGAATCCAGACTCGTGCAGGTGCTGAAATTTTTCTGGAGGAAGTTTTGATGTGGCTTCTGTTTGGCAGATGGCAAGGCTGGCTTTCAGTGCTCATCTGTTTTGCCCTCTGCTTGGCTCTTTCCTGAGTGGATGTGAAGACGTTTTGTGTCTTGCCCAGCTGTTTTTTTGGAAGGGTGATGTTGGAATTTGGAAGCAAAAGACAATGAAAGAGTTGCTAGGGAATGTGGTTCTGAAGACGCAGTGCCCAGGGCAGTTCCACTTTGATACCCGAGTGGCTGTGCAGAAGCAGGAGGAGAGGGCAGGCTGTCTGTGGGGCTGCTCACACATTCGCAGACACGTTAAGACACCAGGGCACGAACCAGTGCCTGAGCACTGAGCAACAGATAAGGTCAGACTGGTCCCAGCTGCCAAGCGAAGCACCTCTGTGGTGGGGGGCTGGCTGGCTGCGTGGGTGCTGTGGCTCAACCAGCACCCAGGAGCTCTTGTGCAGAGTCCTCCACATCCGTGTCTGCCCTTCCAGTTGGCTTGAACCCAATGTAAATGTGTTGGAGGTGCTGAACTTGCAGTGCAAGTGGTCCGGGGATGGGAAGGAGTTTGGGTCCCTTCCCCGTGGAGGAGAGCAGCATCTCTCCAAAGGTTTAAGAGCATCTGTGGGGAGGTTTAAGAGCAACTGATCCTAGTTGATCGTGATCCATTCTCCCTCCAGCCTGCAGTTGTTAATCTTATCTGAATTACAAACGCTGACCCAGGGACTTTCCCCACCCCAGCCTCTGTCAGAGGAGTCTTTTGTCTCTGCCCGATCTGTGGAAGCAAAGAATCCATCCACACGTGGGGCTGATTTATTGTCTGATTTTCAGTGTCCAGTGGGTTGATTAAAGTCCCTCCCTGCTGCGCCTTGACTTGAGGAGAGTCCCAAGGGCCAGTCATTAAGCGACTGCATTACCTATGGCCTCCCTTTCTGTCTGTCCATCCCCTCCTCTCCTCCCTCGCCACTCTAGCTGGGCAGACACGATGGTTTCCACAACCAGCTCTGCCTGCGATGTCTGGCTAGAGCCAAAGCTTGAGGTTGCGAAGAGCTGGCCGGGGGGAGGCACAAGGCATCGTGCGAGGAACTGGGCTGGGGCACAGGAGCTCAGCACCTCTGGGCCTGGCTGGGTGGCCACATCTGGCTGTGCAGCAGCAGCTGGGCCAGTTCCTACCTGCCCTCCAGAGCAAGTTGATGCTCCTGGTGTTTGCTCAGCTGGAAGTGCTGCCATGCCACGGCCTCCTGACCGCACCAACAGTGGGGTTTAGAGGCTTGTGTGGTGTCCACATGCCCTTGCACACCTCCCATCCCTCCTGGCTCCTGTTTGACTGGGGTGTGGACTCCTTTATCTGGAGTCAAGTGCAGTGTGAGTCTGTGTGGCCCTTGCAGTTTGTCACTGATGTTGGTGAGGATGGGAGAGGAGGAGCTGGCTCTTTAGGGACAAGCCACAGAGGAGCCGGTAACTGCCGAGGTGCCAGGGCAGAGCTCAAGGTCAGCCTCTGGCAGATAATAGTGTAAGAAGTTGGTGAACAGTGTTGCCTGGGAATGCGGGGAGGGACGGGGACTTGGTGCCTGAGGAGCTGCTCTCGGGGCTGCACGCCCTCTGTGCCGGGAGCAGAGCCCCAACAGCTCTGGCACGTCGCGGGGGGCTCCTAGTCCAGGCACTGGAGCACCCAGCTGAGGTTCCACTCTGCGGCCGGTGGTGCTGGGTGTCTTCCTCCTGCGTCTGCTCAGCTGCTGGAGATGGCAGCAGAGGAGTACCTGCAGCTCTGGGGCTAGGGGCCAGCGGGGCCACTGTCCCCAGGGAAGATGCTGGTTCCTCTGCAGCCGATGCGGCGAGGCTGGCGGGTGTCTGGCTGCACCCAGGAGTGGCCCCCAGCACCCATCCCACTGCACAGCCCACGGGATGGGGCTCCCTCTTTCGAGGTGCCCCTGTGCTGTCCTCAACAAACCAAATAAAACTGTGCAAAAAAAAAAAAAAACAACAAAAAAAAAAAAAAAAAAACAAACCAAAGCCCAACAACCAGCAATTAAAAAAATTGTTAGTAATAATGTGTATGGGAGAGGAGCGAGGCCAGCAGTGTGTCAGAATGGAGGAGCAGTTCAGCACCCACAAACTGGGCTGAGACCTCTTCCCCCTTGCACGCTCCTCCCTGTGGCACTTGGCTGTGAGCTCCAGCCCTGCCCAGGGCTACTGCAACTGGTCACACTGGGAGGACAGAGCAGGAATTCGGAAACTGGGACGCTGTGAGGGTCAGGACCTGCTCAGCTGCTCCTAACGGCTGCTCCTTTTCCCTCCGCAGGGTTCTGGCATCGGTGATGAGCAATGGGGTATGATGTAGCACGTTTTCAGGGGGATGTTGATGAAGACCTTATATGCCCCATCTGCAGCGGGGTCCTGGAGGAGCCAGTTCAGGTAGGTTTCCATCCGAGCACTGACTGTGGCTACTGAAAGCCTCCGATTGCAGCTCCAGACTTCTAGATGTCTTGGTCAGATGATGGGCGCCGCACACAGCATGTGCATTAGGTGAGCTCAATGGATTCTTACCTTTCCTACTAATGGTTTAAGGCAACAGCACGGGTAAGGAAGCAGCACCGGGGTAAAAGTCTGCGGTTGTGTGAGTTGTGGTGGAAACGAACTGAAGATCTGGGCTTGGGGGGGATGTCCTGGGGTCAGCAAGGAAGCGGGAGGAAGCGAGAAGCTGGTGCTGGGACAGGTTTCCCTTATGAGTTCCTTATTCCCTTCTGAACTCTACCACAGCTCAGTGCAGCTGCATACTGGTGATGGTGTCGCAAGGCAGAGGTGGCAGCAGCTATGCTAAAATCTGTCCTTCATGGCTTTGTGCTTGGCTGACCCTCTCTGCTTCCCCACACACGTGCTTCCTCCCTGCTACAGAGCTGACCCCTTGTGCTTTGCTGCTGGGAGCCGTGCTGGAGCCTCCTGTTCCTCCCCTGCCACCAAACGATGCTGGGAGGATGGACAGAGCGCGCTGCTCTGCCCGGGCCTGGCTTTGGTGGGTCCCCCAGCTCACGGTGCAGCACGGGGAAGGACGGGGTGCGCAGGGAGCTGCTGATTCCACTCCTCCCTCCGCTTCCTGCGCAGTGCGGGGGCCCTTGGATGGGGTTTTCCTGGCAGCTCTGTTGTTCCAAGCTCTTCAGCACAGCACTGCGGGTGTCCAGCCCTCCCAAGCCCCTCGGGTGCTTGTCACCGTGTCCTGTGATGCCCCATTACTTAGGGAGAGGTTAGTGGGGGCTTTTAGAGCCCCCTCACCCGTGCTGAGCAGAGTGGAATGCTGCTGGCTGAGCAGAGCTGGCTTCTACATGGGGCTTTATCGCCCCCCATCCCTGCCCTTCCCTTTGGGGCCTGCGTGCCACCAGAGGCGTTCCTACGCTGGCCATGTGCTGGGCAGCTCAGTAGCCTCAGAGTAAATCTGACTTCATTTGAAATAAAATGGATTAAAATAAGCTAATCTGAAACATGTGCATAATTATTGCAGTTCCATTGATTAATGAAATTCATCACAGAAGTTGCCCTCTGGGAATCCCAGCAGGGCTGGGGCTGTGTGCCGTAGCCCACCCTGTACCAGTGGGCTGGGGGTGCGTGGAACTGCAATCTACTGTAGTTAAAATCATGGGTTAGTGCCTTCCAGCTACACTAATCTGTTATGTCAAAGAAGCTTTAATTTCAAAAAGTCTGTCAACATGTGGACACAATCACAAGCCATCACACAAAACAGAGGGAAAGTTGCAGGTTTTTTAAGCAGGTTTATTTAAATTTCCTTTTGAGAATGTGGTATCCCAAATTCCCTTGTTCCTGGGCTTTTCTCCAGTGTGTTTAACAGCCCCTCTCTTGGATCCCAGCGCTCTGACTCCTGCCAGCACCGCAGTGACTGGAGCTGTGCTCAGGCCAAGCCTGTAGCTAGGCACAAGCCGTGGTTTGGAGGGGGCATATTTTTAAGGTTCCTTGTTTCTCCCAACCTGTGAGGTGCCTCTGCCTGGCCAAAGCAGGGCCGCCTCCACTGATACCTCGGAGGGCTCGGGGCTGTATCCAGCCCCAAGATTTCAGTCTCTCCAAGGATGGCGATTCCCAGGCTCAGCTGCCCGCTGGCTCAGACACGCTGTGCTGGGCAGGGTGGCTCGAGCTGCATTGCCCCAGGGGCTGCACTAAAATTCCCAAAGATGGTCCTGTAGCTCGAACGGGTGAATCCTAGTTTGGCGTACGCCCTGCAGTCGTCACTGGCTTCTGTCGGCTGGTAGGAGGCAGCCTGCAAGGCACTGCACGCTGGGGGAACAGCTTGTGAAGGGCCCTTTGCCCCTAATGCCTCTGACCTTCCTGTGGCTCGGGGTTTCTGCTCTGGGGAAGAAAACTCAGTGTTGTCCAAAGAGCCGGCCCGCTCCCCCTCCCCGATCTTAATACTCTTTCAACTGCAGCTTGAACGCAAGAGCAAAGCCCAGCTGTGTAAATACAGTGAAGTAATATTCTAATCTGCCCTGGAAAAATGTTTAAATTTAACATCCCAGTCTGTCTCGCCCCCTCAGCCCTGTCAGGAGGCAATGTTACCTGGGACGGAGCAGAGCAGGAACGCTGCTTGGAGGGGGCCGTGCCCTGCCCCAGGGAGCTGATCTGCTGGCAGGACAGCACGTGGCTGGGTGGAGGAGGGTGCCTCGGTGGGGCTGGGCGCAAATTAAAACCAGAGGTGGACGAAGGTGGGCGCCTGCTTTTCCAAGGGAAGGGAGGACGGCTCTGCAGCGGTGCCTCTCGTAGTGGAAGGTGCTGAGGGTGGCTCTGGTCTTCACAGCTCTGGCTTTTGGTGTCTCATTCCCCTGCACGGGCATCGCGCCTGCTTGTGTAACGGAGGCGCCTCTTCCCTTTGCTTTCCTCCCCCAAAGCAGCACGTACCTGCTGTGCCTCCCTCGAAGACAGAGAGCCTTTCTCAGGTCAAGGCTGTCCTCCCGGGTCCGAGTAACGCGCGGCTGTTCTCTGCCCCTCCGCAGGCTCCTCACTGCGAGCACGCCTTCTGCAATGCCTGCATCACCCAGTGGTTCTCCCAGCAGCAGACGTGCCCCGTGGACCGCAGCGTCGTGACGGTTGCCCACCTCCGCCCCGTCCCACGGATCATGCGTAATATGCTCTCGAAGCTGCAGATCACTTGCGACAACGCTGTTTTCGGCTGTACGGCCGTTGTGCGGCTTGACAACCTGATGTCTCACCTCAATGACTGCGAGCACAATCCAAAGCGCCCGGTGACTTGCGAGCAGGGATGTGGGTGAGGATGGCCTTGGGGAGCTCTGCCGCAGAGGGTGGGCAGAGCTGGGACCACAGGCTCGGGGGAGGAACCTGGGGTTTGGTGCCTGGCACCCTTTTTCCCCCCTGGGCGCAGAGCTCCAGGGGCAGCAGGGCTTTGAAGGCCATGGTGCTGCAGAAAGGGATGGCTTTTAGTCAAACCCATTTCCTTTTAAACTCAGTTCAAAGCCCCTGGCTCTTCAGCTCATTGCTGGGGTTTGGGTGTCAGTTGGCTGCTAGAAATGGGGTACTGGGGCCTTTGTGAGCTGCCCAGAACCATTCCAGCCTGGGACAAGTTCCAGCATGAGCTCTGCTCCCTCCTACGTGTTGCTGAAAGCCGGTGGCTGGTCTGGCCTTGGTACGTGTGCTCTTGGTGCTGGTCTCCTTCCCACTCGTGTTGTAAGCGTCCAGCCGGGCTGTTGGCTTGGCAACTATCGGATCTGCTTGGATGAAGTCAGAGACTGGCCCAGGCCCATGGGCTGCCTAGTGTGGGACCTGATTCTGAGCCCTGATCACTCTGGAGGAGGAAAATCCCTCTCGCCTGCCGACCTGGCCGTGTTTTGTTCCCATAGCTCTGCCCTAGACCGTGGCTCGGCTCTGAGGCACAGCCTTCCTACGCCTGTCCGAGGTTACAGCACTGGGCTTCCCGGGCCTCTTGGCAAGTCCCCTGAGACTTCATTTGTTCTGGAGACTGTTTACATGCTTACGCCAAGTGCTCTGGTGTGTAACTTTCCCTAACGTGGGGCCTCCACCTTTTTTGTTGTAATGTTCCACAGCTTGGAAATGCCCAAAGATGAGCTGCCAAACCACAACTGCATCAAGCATTTAAGATCCGTGGTGCAACAGCAGCAGACGAGAATCGCCGAGCTGGAGAAGACCTCGGCAGAGCACAAGCATCAGCTGGCCGAGCAGGTAGGTCTGTGCGTGCCAGGGCTGCCTCACAGCGGGGTCTCTTGTGGGAAAGTCTCACCTGCTTGGACACCAAACACCAAAAAAGCGTTGTGGATGGAGGAAGCGGCTGCAGAGCAGCCGGAGCTGAGCGCAGCCAGGGCTCTGCCGCTGTTCTGCACCTCCGTCGTGCAGCCGCTGGGCTCTGGGGTCCGGTCTCGTGGCGTGTAGCTGCGGTGCCAACTCCTTTTGTTTTTGCAAACCCCGCTGTGTCCTGCCTGTTGTAGAAACGGGACATTCAGTTGCTGAAGGCCTACATGCGCGCCATCCGCAGCGTCAACCCCAACCTGCAGAACCTGGAGGAGACCATCGAATACAACGAAATCCTGGAGTAAGTGCTGGTCCTCGTGCTGCTCGGGGAGGAGCTGGGGAGCCCTGCGTCAGGGTGCAAGTGGAGCTGGGAGTCTGCCAGCCTGGCGGACGGGTTTGAGAGGGGGTGAAGTGCCTTCCAAGGCAAAGGCACAGTTTGAGAAGAAAATGCTTCACAAAAGCATAGGGTGTTTGTGCTGGGGCGTGGCACGTGAGCTGCTTGCACAATGGGTTCCGAGCATTTTTATCCTTCCACCTGCATCCTGCCCATGAGCAGGAAGCTGCCAGATTCCTTCCTCCTTGTGAGAAAGGCTGGAGGAAGCAGCTTCTCAACCCGTCCATTCTTCCCCTCCCTCTGGGGAGGGAGTAGCAGAGCTTAGTGCCGCAGCTGGGTCCTGTTTGGGGGTGAAAACGGGGGGGTAAGTGGGGAAATGGAGGGGCATTCCCCATCCAGCCTCCGAGCACGGAGCAGGCCAGAGGCAGAGCAGTTCCCCGGTTTTGGTGAGAGCCCCCGAAAGCACGCGGCCCTGAGCGCTTTGTCCCCTTGTCTGTCCCCAGGTGGGTGAACTCCCTGCAGCCGGCCCGGGTGACGCGGTGGGGCGGCATGATCTCCACGCCGGACGCGGTGCTGCAGGCCGTCATCAAGCGCTCGCTGGTGGAGAGCGGCTGCCCCACGTCCATCATCAACGAGCTGATCGAGAACGCCCACGAGCGGAACTGGCCGCAGGGCCTGGCCACGCTGGAGACCCGCCAGATGAACCGGCGGTACTACGAGAACTATGTGGCCAAGCGCATCCCCGGCAAGCAGGCCGTGGTGGTGATGGCCTGCGAAAACCAGCACATGGGCGAGGACATGGTGCTAGAGCCGGGACTGGTGATGATATTTGCGCACGGAGTGGAGGAAATCTAAGGACTTTCCGAGAGAAACGCTTCGTGCTGACGAGGGAGAGGAGGGGGAAGGTGCGGAGGTGGAGACCGGGGGTAGCCGGTCAGAACTGCTGGTGTTCCCCAGTCACCAACATGGTTTTCTTAGGGCACTGTCCCCTCGAACCTCTTGCTTCCTAGCTGAAATGATTAAATGCCTCTGGTAAATACTACTCAGACGTTGGCCCAGCGGTGAGCACACGCCGCAGACCCCTCCGTGTTCGCCCCCTTTTGCAGATCAGCTTCCCCCGTTCGATGTCTTTCAAGGAGAGAAGAAGCAGCCGCTCCGCGCGTGCTGCCAGTCCTCAGACCCAGCCTGCGTTTTGGGCCCGGCTCCAGCTCCAGCGCAAACCCAAAGGCCCAGCTCAGCTCCGGCTGTGGACTGACCCCCCACGGCCCCCGGCAGCTCCCGCTTGGCCGGCGGCCGAACCCTCCCTGGGTTTTCTCTCCCTCTCTGGATTTCCCGCCTCGCTCTCCGGCGTCTCTGCCGCCGTCTCTCCAGGCATTGCCTCTGATATCACACCGTGACGGCAGCAGCGGGCTCTGCTCCCCGCTCCCGCGACCTGGGGAAGGGGCTCGGCCGGGGGAGTCCCCAAACTGGGCGCTCTCGGCGTCGCCCCCGCAGCCGCCGGGAGCTAAACCGGTCCCCGGCACCCGCCGAGAGCTGGGGCCTCCCACCGCGGGCGGGCTGGGTGTCGGGGACCACCCTGCCCCCCCCGGCACGGCGCCCTGCAGCCCCCCGGGCCCCTCTCCCCGTGCATGCCCCAGCCCCTCTCCCCCCGGGAGAGGCGGGATCCCCGTGCTCGCCCCCCCCCCAGCTCGCAGCCCCCCACAACGCCGTCCTGCCCCGTGTTTCCGTGTTTGCCGGTGTTTGGCTCCGCTTTCTCTGCTGTTACCGCCGTTAGTTTTCCACACACTTGTGATTGTGGTTCTGGGGGTTTTTTTTTGTACTTTTTTTGGCTTTTTCTTGTTTTTATTCCCCCACCTCCCTTTTTATTTTATTTTTGAAGTACCGTGGACAGGCACCTCAGAACCTGGTTACGTTTACTTGTTGGGAACTTAATTTATTTGCATTTGTTTTGTTGTTTTTTACAGTACTTTCTCCCCCGGTGTCTGTACTGCCCGGGTCCGGTGCCCGGCCGGCCTGGCGGGAGGCAGGGATTTAAGTGATCAATAAACAGCGTTCTGGTTGCTTTATTGGCATCTCGGTGCCTTGGGGCTCCGTGCCCGCTCCCCAAAACCCCCTGCCAGGGAGGACATGGGGGGGGGGGGGGGGGTGTGACAAAGGGGCACAGACCTTGTGAAAAGTAGGTGGGTTTGGGGGGGTCCTGCCACCTCGGGGCGGGGGCTGCGCTGGCCGCAGGGTCCCTCCCGTCTTTTTGTGCCGCTGAGATCAGGAAAAGCCTTTCCCAGGCGCTGCCGCTGCGGCTCCCGCCGGCCGCGGACCCTCCCCAGGAGGGTCGGGGCCCCCCCCGTGGGGTTCCTTGGGGGGTGGCTGAGGGTTCGGTGGGGCTGGAGGGGGGTGGGGTGTCCCCTATACCCGGCTGTACGCTGTCCCCCAAAAGCATTAACCCCACGCTCAGGGCCCGGCTGTTAAACGAGCGGGTGCGGGGACCCCCCCCAGCGCTGTGACACCCCCCCCCCACCTCCGCCCCGCCGCGGCCCCCCGCAAAAACGAGGTCAGCGTCACGGACAGGATTCGAACCTGTGCGGGGAAACCCCATTGGATTTCGAGTCCAACGCCTTAACCACTCGGCCACCGTGACTCCCGCGCCAACCACCGCCGCGCTCCGCCTAGACCGGGCCCCGCCGCCCGCCCCGCCCCGCCCCGCCCGGCCCCGCCCCTCCCGCCGGTTCCCTCGCACCCACCGGGCCGGTCCCGCCGCACCGAGAGGCGGAGAGAAAGGCGGGGGGGGGGTGGGGAGGGAAGCGCCGAGCAGCCCGAGCCGGCAGGGGGCGCGGCAGCTCCCGGTTACCGAGCGGGAGGGAGAAGCGCGGGCGGGGCCGGCAGGGGGCGGTAGAGCGGGCGCGGCGCGGGGCGGGGCCGGCAGGGGGCGGTAGAGCGGGCGCGGCGGGAGGCGGCCCGGCCCGCTCGAAGATGGCGGTGCGGAAGAAGGACGGCGGCCCCAACGTCAAGTACTACGAGGCCTCGGACACCGTCAGCCAGTTCGACAATGTCCGCCTCTGGCTCAGCAAGAACTACAAGAAGGTAGGCCGCGGCGGGGGGCGGGGGGCGCCGGCGCCGGCCCCCGCCCCCCCGGGCCCGGCCTGTCACGGCCCCGCCGCCGCCATCGCCGCCTCCGCCCCCCCCCGGGCCCGGCCCCGGCGGCGGCGCTGACCCCCCCGCCCCCCCCCCCCCCCCCCCCCCCCCGCAGTACATCCAGGCCGAGCCCCCCACCAACAAGTCGCTGTCGAGCCTGGTGGTGCAGCTGCTGCAGTTCCAGGAGGAGGTGTTCGGCAAGCACGTCAGCAACGCGCCCCTCACCAAGCTCCCGGTGAGCCCCCGCACGGCGACGGGGTGGGCCGGGGGCTGCGGCCCGGCGACACCCCGGCTCTTGGGGACGAGGCCCCCTCGAGCGGGGACAGGGACCCCGGGGACAGAGCTGGGACAGGGACAGCTCCCGAAAGACCTGGGGACAGCACCCCGGGGACAGCACCCCAGGGACAGCACCCCAGGGACAGCACCCCAGGGACAGAACCCCAAAGACGTGGGGACAGCACCCCAAAGACCTGGGGACAGCACGCCAGGGACAGCACCCCAGGGACCCGGGGACAGAACCCCAAAGACGTGGGGACAGCACTCCAAAGACCTGGGGACAGCACGCCAGGGACAGCACCCCAAGGACCCGGGGACAGAACCCCAAAGACGTGGGGACAGCACCCCAAAGACCTGGGGACGGCATGCCAGGGACAGGGTCCCAGTGACCTGGGGACAAAGCCGGGACAGGGACAGTGCCCCAGTGACCCGTAGGCAGCACCCCAGGGACCTGGGGGCAAAGCTGGGACATGGACGGCACCCCAGGGACCACCCAAATGAGCTAGGGGACAAGGCCTGAATAAGCTGGGGGACAGCGCTCTGATCAGGGACAGCGCCCCAAAGATCTGGGAACAGCACCTTAATGATCTGGGGACAAGGCCCTAAGTAGAGACAGCACCCCAAAGACGTGGGGACAAGGCCCCAGTGACCCAGTTCAACATCCCAGTGACCCAGGGACAGCACCCGGTGACCCGGCACGGTGCCCCAGTGGGGCCAGCGCCCTGGCCAGGGATGGGGCCCCAGCATCCTGGGGGCAGCACCCGGTGACACTTGGGCACCGTCCTGCTGGGAACTGTCCCCCGAGCAGGGTCTGTGCCCCAGCGACCAGGGGACAGTGTCCCAGCTGGGCCAGCACCCCAAGGCCAGGACAGGGCCCCGACCACAGACAGCGCCCCAGGGACCCGGGGACAACACCTTAGGGAGCTGGAGGCACCACCCCGGGGACCTGGGGACAGCACCCCAGGGACCTGGGGACAGTGTGTCCCGACACAGGAACGTGTCTCCAACTGGGGGCAGTACCCCAATACCACTGAGACCACATCCCAGCCCAGGGACAGCCCAGCATGGGGATGGCACCCCAAAAAGGGGTTGACACCCTGACGCAGGGATGGCACCCCAAAAAGGGGTTGACACCCTGACGCAGGGATGGCACCCCAAAAAGGGGATGGCACTCTGAAATGGGGGTGGCACGCTGACAAAGGGATGGCACCCCGACATGGGGGTGGCACCCAGCCCAGCTCCCCACTGCGCCAGGGACACAGCCACCCCCCCGCCCCCCAACCCCTTTCTTCCCGTTACAGATAAAATGCTTCTTGGATTTCAAGGCGGGAGGAGCCCTGTGCCACATCCTGGCAGCGGCCTATAAATTCAAGAGCGACCAAGGATGGTGAGCGCCCGCCTGCACCCCTCGGGGCTGGGGGTCCTGGGGGCACGAGGGGGCCGGGGTGGGGGGGTCACCTCCATGGGAACACCCTGGGGTGGCCTTGGCCGGGAGCTGCACGGGGGTGGGCTGGTTGTAAGGCACCCACCTCCGTAGCAAGTGGGTGCTGGGGCGTGTCGTCCCCCACCCACTGTGGACCCCTGATGGGGTTCAGGCGCGTGTCCCCCCCCGCCCCCCCCCAGGCTTTGGATGCTGACGAGGAGACCTGAGCTGTGGCTTTCATGAGAGTCGCTCTTTTCTTCCAATAAGGCGGCGTTTCGATTTCCAGAATCCCTCGCGGATGGACCGCAACGTGGAGATGTTCATGACCATCGAGAAATCTCTGGTGCAGGTAAGAGGCGCTGCCTCTGCCCCCCTCCCCGGGACCCCCGCTGCCCCCCACCCACTCACCACTCTGCTTTTCTGCCTCCCCAGAACAACTGCCTGGCCCGGCCCAACATCTTCCTGCACCAGGAGATTGAGCCCAAGCTGCTGAGCAAGCTGAAAGACATCGTCAAGAGGCACCAGGTCGGTGGCAGCGCCGGGGTGGGGGGCACAGGGGGGGCCCACCCAGCGCCACATCCTGGCACTCAGCCCTGGCCCCACTCCCCTGCTCTCCTTGCAGGGCACAGTGACTGAGGACAAGAACAACGCGTCCCACATCGTCTGCCCTGTCCCCGGGAACCTGGAGGAAGGTGGGTGCAAGGAGGGGGAGCTCTCTGCTCCGAGCTCATGGCAGAACTTCGGGGAGGGGGCGAGGAGGGGGGGGGTGTTTGGGGGCCTGAGCTGTGCTCAGCGTCACGGGCGGCGCTCGGTGGGACGGTGGATCAGCACCGGCCCCGCTCCTGTGTCCCGCAGAGGAGTGGGTCCGGCCGGTCATGAAGCGCGACAAGCAGGTCCTGCTGCACTGGGGCTACTACCCCGACAGGTGAGGGGTCCCCGGCTCTGGGGGCGCAGTTGAAGCCTGATGGAACCCCGACTCCCCGTGCCCGTGGGGCACCCCACACCGCTGTGGGTGCCGCTCTCACCCCGTCCCTCTGTGCCCGCAGCTATGACACCTGGATCCCCGCCAGCGAGATTGAGGCCTCCGTGGAGGACGCCCCGACGCCGGAGAAACCCCGGAAGGTAGCGGGGTGCCCCAGGCTGGGACGGCGGCTGCAGCCCCCTCCCCTGCCCTCCTGATGTGCCCACGCCCCTGCCCGGCAGGTCCATGCCAAGTGGATCCTGGACACGGACACCTTTAACGAGTGGATGAACGAGGAGGACTACGAGGTGACGGACGAGAAGAGCCCCGTTGCCCGCAGGAAGAAGATCTCAGCCAAGACGCTGACAGACGAGGTCAGAGCGGGACAGCGAAGCTGCGGGGGGGGATGGTGGGGGTCTCTGCTTGGCCATCCTGCTCGGTTGGACGCAGAGACCCCCTGTCCCCCCCAGGTGAACAGCCCCGACTCAGACCGGCGGGACAAGAAAGGGGGCAACTACAAGAAGCGAAAGCGCTCGCCTTCCCCCTCGCCCACCCCAGAGGCCAAGAAGAAGAACGCGAAGAAGGGGTGAGGCTGGGCTGGGGGGGCGGCGGGGTAGGATCCAGCCCCGGGGAGCGGTGGTGACGGGGACACGGGGGGGGTCTCTCCCTTCGCAGACCCTCTACCCCCTACAACAAATCCAAGCGCGGGCACCGCGAGGAGGAGCAGGAGGATCTGACGAAGGACATGGACGAGCCCTCGCCCGTCCCCAACGTGGAGGAGGTCACCCTGCCCAAGACAGGTCAGGGCGGGGGGCCGGCAGCCGCCCCGCGGGGCTCCCCCCTGACACGAGCGTGGGCTGGGCTGGGGGCCCATCCTGGGGGGTGCTCAGCGCCGCTTCCCTCCACTGCAGTCAACACCAAGAAGGACTCGGAGTCTGCGCCTGTCAAGGGGGGCACCATGACAGACCTGGGTGAGGCCGAGCGCCGGGGCTGAGCGCCGCAGCGCGTCCCCTGGCCCCGTGGACCCGGCAGTGCCCATAGCTGCCTCAGCTTCTCCTCTCTTCCAGATGAGCAGGAGGATGAGAGCATGGAGACGGCCGGCAAGGTGAGGCCCAGGGCCGTCCCCCCCCCAGCCCAGCTCCTCCAGGGGAGATGTCCCCCCCCAGCCCAGCACCAGGGTCACCATCGCTGCGTGGTCGCCTCTTTATCCTTGTCTTTCTTTTGGGTGCAAAAAGGCCCCTTTCTGCTCTTCTCCTCACCCCTGGGGCTGCAGGCGG